TGATTTTTCTCCCCAGTAAAGGTTGTTTTCCTACTTCTTTGCATGTTTGATAGCTTTGATTGGATGCCAGACATTGTGAATTTTGACTTGTGTGGTAGATGCTTTTGTTTTGTTTTGTTTTGTTTTGTTTTTTTTCGGTACGCGGGCCTCTGACTGCTGTGGCCTCTCCCGTTGCGGAGCACAGGCTCCGGACGCACAGGCTCAGCGGCCATGGCTCACAGGCCCAGCCGCTCCGTGGCATGTGGGATCTTCCTGGACCGGGGCACGAACCCGTGTCCCCTGCATCGGCAGGCGGACTCTCAACCACTGCACCACCAGGGAAGCCCTGTATTTCTCTGAATATTATTGAGCTTTGTTCCAGACTCGGTTAAATTATTTAGAATCAGTTTGACCTTTAGGACCGTTGCCTTTAAGCGTTGCTAGGCAGAACTAGAGCAGTGTTTCGTCCAGGGCTAATTGCCCTGCTGCTGAGAGAAACCTTCCTGAATCCTCTGCCCGGCGTCCTGTTGTGTTCCTGCCTGGCTGGTGGGAAGTGTGTGAGCACCAGCGCCCAAGGTGGTCTGTAAGCTTTTGGGGTTCCTTCCCTCACCTCGGTGGTCTCCTCCCACATACGTGCTGGACAGTGCTCTGCTGAGCACTCGACTTGGACCCTGAGGTCACCTGCCCTCGGGCCCGTCGCCCTGCAGACTTAGGCCTCAGCCCAGGGCGACTGCTGTGTGGCCTGGACGCTGGATGCCAGAAGCCAGAGTGGTTGATGCTTGTCTGTCTCCTGTCTGCCAAGGCCACGGCCTCTCAGAGCCCAGTGCAGCGCTTCGGAAACTGCCGCTTCGTGTGTTATTTCAGCGAAGGCTGAGTCCGCTTCCTTTACTTTGTCTGGACCCGGAGCAAGAGTCCCACCGAGTGCCCAGACTCAGAGGCTTTTGCTTTAGTGAAATATTATGTCTTCCAGCGAGGCTTCATTATTGCCCTTTCCCTGGAGATTTGACTGTCTGGTATCAATTGCCCATCATTTTTCTTAGTAGAATGACTTTGCTGGACCTTTTACCCAGGATGTGTTTCATAATAGTCACCATAGCTATTATTGTAAACAGTGTTTCCAGATGCCCTGGGCATCGTGGGTGTCGGTGTATGTGAGACCCTGAGGGCTAGGGCTGCTTGCCTCCAAAGTGGCACCACTCATTCCAGGGGACATCTCAGGAGGGCCCATGTGGGGGGCAGTGGATGGGCTTTTGGACGCAGGTGTGCAGGCGGGTGCCTGGCCACTCAGAAGTTCCAGCAAGTCTAAGTACACCTCTGCAGAGTGAGCCGCTCACATCTTGTGGAGCGAATGGGGTGGAGATGGTAAGTGATGTCACGGTAAAACTATCCTGGTCTCCAGTAGAGTGGACAGTGCACTACACCTGGTGTTTCAGAATAAAGCCTGAGTTTCTGCTGAGGTGGTGTGGTATATAATTTGCCAAAGAATCTTATGTGCAAGTAACAGTTCCAAACCAAAGCTGGAAAGTTTTTTTGTTTGTTTTTGAGGAGGTTTTCAGGATTATTTGAGGGAGAACCTCTTGTTTTGATGTTGATCAGTTTCCCAAAAGTGGGGTCTGGCATCTCCCCGTGCCAGGTCTGAGGAGGCCTCGGTGGAGGGAAAGGTCAACTCCAGCCTGTCTGCACAGCCTGCCTGCAGTTTCTTACTTTGTTTTTGTTTGGTAGAAAGGGATATTCAGATTACATGAAAAAGTCTTAGTAGATACACATCGTGCTGAGAGTCATTCTCTTGTAATGCGAGCAGGAGGAGATGTTGAGTGCATCCATCTTTTCTGAATTTAGATCTGAAATCTCAACTTGCTGAAGACAGCGTGTCTTGTGTGTCTCGGGTCTGTGTGTTTTAGTCCTGCTTGTCTCCATGAGACGACAGAAGACTGAAGTCTGCATTTTCAGGAACGTTTCGGGGATGAGGCTAGGTGTTGATTTCAGACTAGTTTTTTGTTTGTTTTGGTTTTGTTTTTTTTTAATTATTGAAGAACAGTTGACTTACAGTGCTGTGGCGATCTCTGCTGTACAGCAGTGACTCAGTTACACTCATAGAGACATTCTTTTTTAAATATGCTTTTCCATTACCATTTGTCCCAAGAGATGGGATATAGTTCCCTGTGTTATACAGTAGGACCTTGTTGTTTATCCATTGTAAATGTGGTAGTTTGTATGTACCAACCCCAAACTCTTCGTGCATACCTCTCCCTCCCCCCTCCCCCTCAGCAACCACAAGTCTGATCTCTGTGGACTTCAGACTAGTTTTGATGCACAGAATCAAACCTGTCACAGAGAACTCGCACTTGAGAAAAGCTGTGCTGCTGACCTTGGGTCACGAGGTAGATGTGTCTCCAGGAAACCCTGTGCCTGGTGAGGGCTCGGTGCAGGAGAACGGAGTGGCATCAGGTCCTGATGGATTAATAGGGTGGTTGAAAGTGATGCAGGCGGGTGAGGAAGCCCAGAAATTGGGAAACAAGTGGACACTTTATTTGATGGACCAGTTTGAGAATGTAAGTTAATCAAGAGTGAATTCAATGCATAAGTTATTCAAAAACAGAGAATATTCAGGTTCAAATATCTTAGGCCTAATAGGAAGGATTTTGTTAATTCAGCGGCTTTGGTCACTCAGCGAAATCAGTCATTTGTACGAGGGCATCACGTCCGGCATTCACAACGGGGCCCGGGAGGGTGGATGTCTTCCTGGGACACTGTCCCCCCCCTCATTCTTCGTCCCACTCTCAGGACCAAGTCCTTGTCTCCTTTTTACATTGCCCTTTACTCGTTTCTTGTGGGTGGGAACTGCAGAGTCCTGGTGGCAGCTTCTGTGTGGTGTGCTTGTCGCGTTTAGACAGGCCTGCCACCGAGTAGGGTAACCTGGGGCCTGGCTGCTGCAGGAAGCCGCTCCTCTGTGCTCAGGATAGTCCACAGGGGCGTGGTTTCCCCGGGGGTGGGGGTGGGTGTTTGTTTTTCATTTTTCCCCTTCATTTACCTAAATAACTCGGAGTACTTGCCTCTTCTTTCCCTTACGATTTCTCACTCTGAAACGTCCCACTCTGCTCTGATGTCAGCTGTCGCCTTAGCTACTGGCACCCGAAGTGCGTAGTTGTAGGTGCTGATTAGCTGTTTTGCTCCCTTAAGGCCCTGGCGGGGGATCCCCACTGAGGGGAGCGCCCTCACGGGCATGGGTGTTTTGCTGGGACACTCGTCTGTCCTGAGACAGATAAGCGTGTGCAGAGCAGGCGTGGTGGCAGGGCTGGGAGGCTGGGACCAGCGGGTGTTTCCCCTCATTTCCCCTCGGCTACGCTGGTGTGAGGAAAACCTCTGTGTCCCAGTGCTAGGAGGGCCCAGGTCCTGCCGCTCCCCACCTCCAATGCCTGGATCCAGAGGTGTGCTCGGTACCAGTACCGGTACTGGTCACGTGAGGTGCCACAAGGAGGCATTTCTAAGCGTCCAAGTGTGACTGAATCTCCTGAACATATTCTGGGGAGGGCCTCCTGTGTTGGGCCGCTCCTGCAGCCCTGAAGAGCCCACTGCATCCCTGTCGCCCGCCCCCCCCCACCCCGCCCCGCGCGGGGAGGAAGCCGGTGACAAGGTGCCTGTAACATGAAGACGCCAGCAGTGACTCAGCAAAGACCCAAGAGGTGACAGCGCCCCCAGCACGCCTGGGTGCCCCAGGGCTTGGCTGGTGGTTTTAAGCGGCCTCCAGATTCTCAAAAAAGAAATCTCAGTGGGCTTCATGTAAATAGTAAGCATGTGCTCAACAGGACATATATATATACGAGGGAGAGTTGGCTCTAGCGTTCAACCAAAAAAGTCACAACTGGGAAGAGATTGTTTTGAGGACATTGACACCTGGTTCATGAATTGGAGCATTCAGAAAATGGTTCTAAGATGTCCTTTGATGAAGGACACGTATCACTAAGCTTATCTTGATTTTTACCAAAGAAAAATGTTTTCTTCATATATTAGATTAAAAATTTACTTGATAATAATTGTTTGTAATGATTAACTACTGGTGCAAAGGCTTTTGTTAGGAGGTTATCTTGTTTTTTTTTTTTAAGAGAGAAAGAGACAGTGGATCTTAGACTGAATTATAAAAACATGAAGCTTTTGGGAAAGGAAGGATGTAAAAACAAAATGTGGATGGGAATCCCTTGTTCTAAGTAAGGCAGAATGTAAGGGAAAGGTATTTTTATTCTTTTAATTATTGTCATTAGTCCATATTCTTTTTGACCTTTTTTTTTTTTTTTTTTTTTTTTTTTGCGTTACGCGGGCCTCTCACTGTTGTGGCCTCTCCCGTTGTGGAGCACAGGCTCCGGAAGCGCAGGCTCAGCGGCCATGGCTCACGGGCCCAGCCGCTCCGCAGCATGTGGGATCTTCCCGGACCGGGGCACGAACCCATGTCCCCTGCATCGGCAGGCAGACTCTCAACCACTGTGCCACCAGGGAAGCCCTCTCTTTGACCTTTATAAATTTGCATGTGTTTTATGTATTATATATTTCTTTACATAATTATTTTCTTAATATCTATAAAAATTTAACTTGCCCTTTTTTCCCCTCAGGAATATAGTATTTGAGTTAAGATTCCAAAGTGTCTCCGTTCTGTATATCCCCCGTGTATTTTAAAATAGTTCAAAAATAGGCAGTAGAAAAACTACATTTCTGTTTATAACATTTCATATTTGGATTGAATCAGATGCTGATTTTGTACATGAGATTTGAAAGAAAATTTTATTAGAGCTGGTACATCCCATCTGCGCTCCAGGTTCACTGTTGTTAGGGACCATTTTTGCCAAACTTTTACTGGATTCCAGCGTTGCAGTGATAATTGCCCTTGACCATGATAACTTATTTGTGGATTACGTAAGTGGTGGGCGTGGCTTTGTGTTACAGTTAGAGCTGTTTGTACAGATAGGTTGCTTTTAAAGGACAAATTTGTCGTTCACAGTGAATAACTCATTTATCCTTTTTGTTTTCAGGCTGTTGAAAATCTGTGTTCTCACAAAGTTTCCCCAGTGCTCTACCAGCAGCTGCGCCAGGTCTGTGAAGGCCACGTCCAAGCACAAATCCTTCAGTTTAGAGAATATCCTTTTTTTGGCTTGTGAAGTTCCTATTTATTACCTAAATCTCTTGAAACTGAACATTAATAGGCTAAAGAACTAATGAGTATCCTTAATATTAAAGCAAAAGCTTTTAAAATTCTCTTTTATAAAAACAAAACCTTACGCTTGTATCATATAACCCAATGTAGCAGATGTTTTAGGTGGAGTTTTCACTGTTTAAATTACTTGGCTGATCTGATTGAAGTCAGTGTCCATTTCTCTAGTCCGTTTGGAAGCGTTTAGGAAGAGTCTAAAAAACACCTTAAGGTTGGAGTGCTGCTGTGCTTTATTCGTGTTTTTTAAAGATCTATGTTAGTTTTCTGTGATTATAACCAATTCCCACAGAGTTGGCCGCGTGAACCAACCCCGGCCTGTTGGCCCGCGCTCTGCAGGTCGGCTCACGGTGGGCTCAGGGGCTCTCAGCACTGGGCCTCGCCAGCCCAGATCACACCGGACCTTTGGTCCCGACGAAGCCTTGCCCCGGGTGGGGCCGCACCTGGCTGCAGCCCCCGGGCCTCCCAGCGCCTCAGGTTGGCTGGCGTGGGCTTGACCCTGTGCAGCCTTGCTGTCCCCCGCTGGCCGCGGAGACCAGTCAGGGCACTGCCACGTGGTGAGCACCTCGGCTCAGCACTGGGCACCGGAGCTGCCGGGCTGCTGCCGAGGTGGCACCTGCCTATGTGTGCTTACGACGCAGGCTTTTTCAGACTGTTTGCGGAAGGTCTGATACCGTGGGCCATTGTAATTGTGAGCAGTTGTAACAGTTCTTCCAGAATTATTTGTTAACCATTCAACTATTCGGTCTTTGCTGTGACTCGCTCTGTTTCTGAGTTAGGAGCAGACCCTCGAGAAAATGAGTGAGGCACTTGGCCAGGACCCCTGTGGCTGCGGTCAGTGCGCCCCCAGCGCCTTCCGATTTTACACGCCAGAAACGGGCTGCTGTGTGTTGCCTCCTCTCTCTGTGCTCGGAATGTTGCATGGAACCTTGCAGCCGTGCCGATCCACGCGCCTGCTGCACCTCGGCCGAGGGGCCGCACTGAGGGGTGCGCCCTTGTCTGGTGCTGTGGAGCTGAGACAGGCTGGAGCAGGACTGAGGCCCGGGAGGCCGGGTCCTTGCCTCTGCCAGCTGCCTTCACACCCGTCCAAAGGGAGTAACGGTGTGCCGTGCGGCTGGGTGTGAGGGTGCTGTGTGGGCCGTAGGCGGTGTAGACGTCGTGACCATGGGGCTTCGATTAACCTGTGCACGCAATGCCCGGGTGCTTGGCGAGGTTTTCCCTAGGAGCCCTCACCGGGTGTCTTTTGCTGTAAACAGCGTCCCGAAAGTCAGGTCGTGCACGTGGTGCACGGATGAGATGTGACGTACGTCTCTGTGAGACCAGAAGTGACATTTGGCCCTCAGCCGTTGTCCTCCGTCTGCCCGTCCCCCAGTGCTGTTCATAGTGACTGGCTTCCTCGCCTCTGGGACAGCATCTCCAGAGCTGCCCTTTGGGGTGGGGCCTTTGGTCCACCCCCCAGCCCACGAAGCCTCAACAGGCAGTGGGGTGAAAGGGAAACAGGGAGAGGCAGGAAGAGATGGAGGCAGGTGAGTGCAGGCAGGTTCATCACAGGTAGGCAGGGAGACACGGAGGCTGGAAACCACGTGTGTGGCTTCTGAGCTTCTGCCCTTTCAGTATTTTGATCACTAAGCAACATGCACGACTCGGAGGCGAGGAGAGCGGAAAGTAAGGGGTAAAAATTGTAACAAGTAAATTGGCCGGTGTTTCTGAAGTTTTCCTTAGCAGGTCTGCACAGACTCGCTAGATAGTGTTTTATTTTTAAAGAAGATTAACACATGCTGGCAGGATCACTGCAGACAAATGGTAAGCGTGCTGACATGCTCCCTGAGTGGGTCTCAGTGCACACGCCCTCTTGGGTCTTTTCCTCCAGCCTCTGGCTCAGCTGGACGGAAGGCAGATCTGAGTAGCTGGGAGTCTGTGCCCCCTTTGCGTCCAGCTGTGTTGTTTTTTTTTAACCAAAGCGTGGCCCCATCCATCTTCCCTCAACCCCCAAGGAAGGCAGGGCCCGGTTGGGAGCTGGGATGGGGAGTTCTGTTCAGGTCAGGTGCTGCCATCCAAGAGTGGGGACGACCTGCTCTTCTGGGGTGGGGCTGGCTGCGAGCTTGGCCTTTGGGCTGACCGCACATGTGACTCATGGTGCCTGGGATTCCCCGTGGGTCTCTGAAGTTTTCCTTGATCTCAGTTTATGCCTGAGAATCAAGCCTGAATCCCAGTAGTTTACTATAACTAGACAACCAGGCTTAGACTTAGTAGATATATTAATTCTAATTTGATTTTATATATATGAGTTTTCAGGGTGACCTGGCTGAAAATTATGTAAGTGAGAGAAGAGATAGTATCAATAGCTTTCCTAACTAGGTTGAATTCTTTGGTTTCCTGACTGAGGTGAGTAGGCGACAGCGAATGAGTCTCTCTCGGGCCAGGCACCGGGGGACGGTAGAAACAGGTGAATGTGTCGGGAGGGTTCTCTCTACCTGTGTAAGCAAACCTCCACGACACAGTCTGCGGCGCTCCCTGAGGGAGCCCCGGGCCACCGCCCACCACGTGAGCCCACACAGTAAAGGCGAGTACACACACATGGCTGAGAGCCTCATGCCAACATAGCGAGCCGGAATGCTGGAAAAGTTCAGCTTCGAGCATCTCCCAGTCTAAGGAGATTTCACCACGTCAGTCAGGATGTGACTGGATTTCAAAGGCATCTCTGAGGCGAAGTGCTGTACGGTCAGAGTTTCTGGGTAAAAGAGCTGAAAAGCCAACACCAAGGGGACACGTCAGTTCAGGGAGACGTCAGGTGTGAGGGTCTTGACGATAAAAACATCTTTTCATTGAGAAACAGTCATGTTAGATTTGAGACGGCTAGGGTTGAATGTCTTGTTGGTGAGGTACGTAAGTAAGTCAGGTCCCCCTCTTGCCTCCAGATCATGATCAGAAGCATCTTCCTGTTTCTGGATCGTACTTACGTGCTTCAGAATTCCATGCTTCCTTCCATCTGGTGAGTGTCCCCCGGCCCTGGTCTGTGGCTGAGGCTGCGGCTGACCTGTGTCTCTGATGGTTGATTTGATGACACGTGCCCGACCATCTGTCTGTGGCCCTCTGTTTTGGCCAGGGTCGCTGGCACACAGGCCTGCCCCTCAGTGGCTCTCGGCCCGGAAGTGTCTGTCACCATGAGGGCAGCCGCCAGTCCAGCACGTTCTCCTGTGGGTGTGGAAGTGCCTTGTGAAGTCCGTTTCTGTCACCTCTTCCACCTCTGCTCTGGGAAAGGCTGGGGAGCCGGTCACTCTCTGATGGTGCCTCCCGGTACTCTGCTGACGGGCCGGGCACAGGGCGTTGGCTTCCATCTGCTCAGGGCAGTGTGAGTCTGGAACCCTGTGCCCACGTTGCCCTGGGTCCCTGGTCCCCGACTTCCAGCGTCGTCCCCGAGCAGCTCAGCCTTGGTGACAGGGCCCATCTGTGGTCTCGCCCTCGGTCCTCTTGGCCTGTGCCCAAGTGGACGTTCCCTCCCGATTCAGCACGCTGTGGCCTCTCGCCACCTCTAAGCCCCGTCCTGTAAAGTCGCTTCCTTTTCTAGCTTCCTGGCCGTCCATTCACTCTGACCCAGGGCGGTGCGATTTCTCCTTCTACCACCAGGAAACCGCTTGTCTTTGTTTCCTGTAACCCAAGTGTGGGGCGGCTGGGGCCCTCTCTCCCACGTGATCCCACGTCCCCTCTGCTCCTCTGTCCTCTCAGCCCCGACTCCTGCACGCCTCCTACTAGACACCCATGACCCTCTGCAGGACAGATTGTCGTTACTCAGAGGAACAATCAGTTTGGAAAAGCTGATGATGACAGGAAGTCGCAGAGCTCCTCCTCTGTGCGGGGCCCTGTCCTCAGGGCTTCAGCACCTCCTGACTGACTCCATCCTTAGAGCAGGACTCCATCCCATGAGGGATGACTGTCCTCCAGATGGAGGAACTGAGGCAGCGCGGCTGCCGCCGCAGGACCTTCCTCTGAAGCCACACTCTCAGCTCAGGCTCCAGCAAAGCCACCAGGATATGCCCGCGGCTTCCTCCTCCCTCGGCGCGCCTGGGCGCAGCAGGCTTCCTCTCCCCACCTCCTCCCGTCTCAGCTAGTGGGCCGCTCCCACGGACTCTGCAAAGCTCAGGCCGGGGCTCCACTGCACACCCCAGTTTCTCACGCACCCTCACAGCGATCCCTGCCATCCTGCACGGGCACACTTGCTTCCCTGCCTGCTGCAGTGGACGGGGGCTGGTAGGCTTCACGCTCTGGGCAGTGCCTCCAGGTTAGACAGCAGGGTTACGTCATAAACTACGTTTAGACTCTGGAGCCTGATGAGCTGGGCACAGCAAGCTCCTTGTAATCTCTGCCTCAGTTTCTCCATCTGGAGAACAGTCATCCCTCATGGAGCTGCTCTAAGGATGGCGTCAGTCAGCAAGTGCTGAAGCCCTTAGGACAGAGGAGCAGAGGGGACGTGGTATGGAGAGGAGAGAGGGCCCCAGCCGCCCCACGCGTGGGTTACGGTAAACAAAGACAAGCGGTCTCCCGGTGGTAGAAGGAGAAATCGCACCACCCTGAGTCAGAGTGAACGGACGGCCAGGAAGCTAGAAAAGGAAGCGACTTTACAGGACGGGGCTTAGAGGTGGCGAGAGGGCACAGCGTGCTGAATCGGGAGGGAGCGGGCTGAGGGAGTGCGATGGACTCTGGTTTGCACCCTCAGTTCCGTCATCCTGTGGCCAGGGCCACACAGGAGGAGCAGCTGGAGGATGGGGGCAGGGCCGGCGGAGGGTCCCAGGCAGGACGGCGGAAGCCCACTGACCCATGCAGGAAACGGGCAGCACTGATGAGGAAAGAAATAGAAGGCACACCAGATTGTCAAGAATGAAAATTTTTTTTAAAAAGTTCTTGACACTTGGACCAGAGAGTTAGCAAGTCAGTAGCTTGGGGGTGATACTCATAATGTAGCTGGAGCTTCACCCAGAACTTGTAAGAAGTGAAACTAAAACAGTCTTGTCTTATTTGTTTGTACAGGGATATGGGATTAGAACTGTTTAGAAACCATATTATTAGTGATAAAATGGTTCAGACAAAGACCATCGATGGCATCCTGCTGCTGATCAAGCGGGAACGGAGCGGGGAGGCCGTGGACCGCAGCCTGCTGCGGGGCCTCCTGGGCATGCTGTCCGACCTCCAGGTGGGCCCCGCATGTCCTCACAGACCACGAGGGAAGCGCTGGACCCCTGTCCAGCCGCCTACACCCGGGTGACGAGGTGTCAAAGATGTCAGTGTCGGAACTGACACCATTAGAGTATTGGTGGAAATATGGGAGGGGAATGACTCGGCTGGCACTCACCTGGAGCCGGGGAAGGGGCAACTTTTGCCGCACAGACACAGTGCCCCGGGAGACGGCCGGGGCCTGGGAGCCCCCTGGGCAGAGCAGGGGGGCTGGGCGGGCCCAGGCAGCTTGTCACGGGCACAGGTCACGGCAGCCGTGCACCCTCGACATGGGGCTGCACCAGCACTTCAAGCTGAGAGCTAGGTTTCTTTTGCTGTAATTGGTCGTTAACCCTGCTCATTTTTTAGGTGTATAAAGATTCATTTGAACTGAAATTTTTGGAAGAAACTAATTGTTTATATGCTGCAGAAGGCCAAAGGTTAATGCAAGAAAGAGAGGTGAGACAACGAAATGTTTCTGAATTGCCTTATTTCATTTTCATAGATGTGCATCTAAGTGTGATTTCTAAATGTTGGTCTCTTCACACTGGCAAACATCTCACTGAAAATCTTCCGAAAGTTACAATCTAGTTTAAATTCCTAGTGATGAGCTTCTTTGTGAGTTTATTAAGGGCTTAATTTTTTTCTCCTAATTTAGAAACCCTTCTATTGCCCCCCGCCCCCAGTAAAAACGCTAGTGAAATAGCTTCTAAAATACATAAAGGAACTCAAGCTGAAACAAGAGTTTAAAAGATAATTCTTAAATATGAAAGAGAAACCTGACATGTTAAAAATTTTCATCTCTGTGAGGCATTGAAAAGATTACCCAAAAAGCCACGGGAAAACACCATGTATTTAGTAGTAATAAGAACCCAAAAACTTGATAGCCGGTTTCTCGGGTATCAGAGCCCAGCTCAGCAGGAGCCCC